AATAGATTCGAGTGCAATGCTTGTTAGCGTAGCTTGCACCTATTTCCATTGGACAGGGACTCTTGAAGATCCTTTGTAAGCTCCTCATTGGTTGGCGGTTGCAGTTGCATTCTTCTCAGCAGGAGCGCAATACGACACTTCTCCGCATATCTTGTCTTCGCTGGGTCATGGACCTTAAGAAAAGGCCATTCCTTTGCAGACGCACTTCTAGCAGCTACACTTTTGGCATCTTCGTCCCCTCCTTGTCTTGTAGCCATACTTTGGCTACAGGGTATGGTTCCGGCTGCCGCTAGTATTGTTGCCTTCCTGAGCTCGGCTTAGCTTCAGCCGTTGTGTTACTACCAGTCCTTGCACCTAAACCAAGCTTTGCTCCTGTCTTTGAGCTGGTATTTTCGAGCTTGTTACGAACGCTGCGGAACATTTAATTCCCTCCGGCTATTTCCAGAAGATATGGATTCCTTTAATCCTTTTTTTTGTCGTTTCTGTTGATTTGGTTCATATTTTGGACCCACGAGTGTAGGAGGAAAGTATATCCGCTTAGGCATAACGCCCGCTACGAAAGTAAGGCTATCTTATTACGCAGGGCGCCAGGTATCCGCAGATAGAGCTTGCCTGTGGAATTGAACTTATTTCAATATTAATTACCAACATAACATCTTTAGAATTAATAAAATCAATATTTTTCGTAAAATAGGGCTAGAGAAAATATGGAGCAATTTTATGTACAGAATTGGGATGAGTAAATGGTTTTGACTAATGTACATGTATGAAAATCTTATCGACTATGTAAGTTTCAAGCACACCTGTTCCTTCAAGATTTTATAAAATAGCCACAATTTTGAAAAATTGTTTTGGTGTAAGTCTTTTGTTGACGATGTTACAAAGTATACTGATCATAAAAGTCAAACACATGTATTTATTTGGACAGCTTATATGACATCTATGCATCTTTCAATTATATTATATATATCTCTTAAGCAACATTTTACGAGTGTATAAATGCTTTTCAAATTAATTTTTATTAAAATTGTTTTTAAAACATAGTGAGTTCTAGATTATTATAAATTACTTGATCTGATATACTTTCCTTGCATATTCTGGTCAATTAGATAACAAGCAACATACCAGACTAGACCATGATTAAAATTTATGTTACTGTATATGAATACAACATTCGTTCCTCTGTCATATTCTTGAAATATGTGCTGAGCGTGCTCTAAACGCTTTAAAAGATACTATACTATACAATAAAGAAAACTCATTACTATTTAACAGCAATTTAATGTATTTTCATTTTCGCCATGCGCCACTTCATTGCTGGCAAATCTATAAAATTAATAATTAAAATTAAATTCAATATAATAAAGTATGTGGATACTTCAGTAATATGATATAACTAATTTTTATTATAACTCTAATTGATTTTGTGTATGTTGCATTTAAACGCTTTGTTTGTTCGATTCACCACTGTTGACGCTTTACCGAATTGAAGAAGGCTTTTGTTCATAAAATAAAACATACATGCAGAAATATTTGTGAAATTTAACAAACTTTTAAAACAGTAAGTATCACGCATAATGTAAACAACATTAGACGCATTCTTATTTGGTTATACACCGTTTTAGCGAAATGTGTTTAGGACCAACAGCTAGCGATAACAGGCAACTCAAACATACTTACTTCGACTCAACTAATCCAAATCAAACCAAGTAAACGTTTATGCATGGATCCACCCATTGAAATTCGACAAATACAATTAGCATACAGTGGGCTACACCAAACATTTATCCTAGCAGATCTGACTGAAAATCCTGTGTAAACAAAGCCCAACAACACAAAAGCCCTAGCGTCGCTTATGTTCTCGTATATGCCCGTTGCAGTACATAGTTATATTTGTAACATCCCGAAAATACAAACAGTTTACGAAAACTTTTCAATTTACGAATTCCATTTGCGCTTATTTGTCGTGATTTGTGTCGTAACGTCAGTGACAGCTGCAGCAGTGGCGGCAGCAGCAGCACAAATCCTCAACGCGAGGAGCAGCAACCAATTCGTCGAGCACTTGAGTGCGAACCGGGTAGTGTTGGGAGTTTTCTGTTGTCCTCGCTTTAACGCTGAGTCGTTGTTGTACTTGACGTTTGTGATGGCATTTCCGTTTCCGGTTCACAGCTGCTGTTTGCTCAAGTATAATTCCTTGAGTAAAAAGTAAACACTTTTAGCGTGAACTGTTCGGCCTGCACCTCTCTTATCGCCCCCTCTCTAAATACCGTGATTCCGAAAGTGTATCTGTTTTTTATGCCAAAATCTGTATTCTAAACTAACCAATTCCTTTGTCCATCATTCGCTTGCAGCAACTGTCTGCTCCGCTTTTACCGAGCGTAAGTAAGTGCTAAGTTGCTTAGAATATTTTTACGGTCAGAAATGCAAATGATTTGCTTTGTCAGACGCCCTCTCTCTGCCCTCAACATTCCGAGCCCGTGTACATTTCAATTCCAGTATTTTTGTATAATTTTATTCCTTCGCTTTTGCTGCCGTTCACGCGCTCTCTTCGGCGAGGGAAATGTAAAAATCTGTAAATAAGATGTTGGCAGAAGAAATATAAATGTAAATAGAAATTAAATAAATAAAAATTGCGCATTATACAAGTATATACACAGCGACGCTGAGTGGCTGCTAAGTACATTAGCGCCGCATAAAGATTCGACTGTTTCTTTTTTAGTTATCCGAAAAATTCTAAAAACTCTCTGAAATTCAGCGGAACGCGGAAGTTTGTTTACATGCACCAAATACAAGTAATTGATTGTTATTGTAGGAAAGTAGTATACTATAGTACATTTTTAGGTATGTGAAAGCTTACTTCAGCATAACTTTGCAAATGCCTATGTACATATTATATTTCTAAATATAGCTTTGATATTAGGTGAGAGAAAATTGGATAGCTTATAAGTATTTAATAAATGACACAGAGACGATTGATTCTCGAAAACCTTAATAATGGTCAACTCTGGTTCATATTCGAAAAAGGTAAACAATCTCTGGAAAAATCTTTCTGCTAGATGTTTCCAGAGTCGGATTGTTACGAAATATACCTGTAAGATATTCTTTATTTAAAACAGTTAGATACTGTTTGATACAGTTAGATAAGTACTAATAGTTTTGTTGACTAGAATATTGTGTCTATTTTTGAGCCTCTGACCCAATAATTTTAAAAAATTACTACCTATCTTCCTCTTTTCTTTTGTTAACACGGTATATCTAGTAATATTTGCTGTGGGGTCGGACTGTTAGTGATGTGGAATTTGAAATTTTCTAAATAGTCTATTACACAGTTAGGGATACTTTGAGCAAGATTATCATATTAGAAAACGAGATATCGGGGTATTCCTACAGACTAGTTTAATAAGCATTAGTATCATACTTTGAAAAATCGCTTTGTGTTAAAAATATTGTGTTGAATATTGTGCATGAACGAAGACAGATTTTTTTAATGATCCAGAATTTGGTTTTAATAAAATTCTTTCAGAGGAAAGATAAGTTTGAAAGTGTACACATTCGTGAACTAAGTCTGTTTTTAAATCATTAGGATAAATTTTTTTCCAATAAACTGGATTTTAGGTCCAGACTCGATGGTGACAACTCATTAACCTTAGTAAACATTTAAAACTTTTCGTTAAATCCGTTATAGACCTTATGCCGTTTTGCGTATTAGGATATTAGTTTATCTACCTATATTATGATATATTATATGTTATATATGTAAAACTACATGCCAAGAATCCTTCAAACTTTTAGATGCATCCTCTCCAACTGACCAGGGTGCCAACTCTTACTCTTTTAATGCTTTCGCGTTTTCCGATTTCTTTCATTAGAAAGGTATATGATCGCGAATTTTTGCTTGCAAGCAAATGTACATACCAGACAGAGCAAAATTTACCATCCTTAAATTTTGCCGCCCTAGGCTTCAGCCTCCTAATAAATCCGCCGCAGCATACAGAGGGCAAATACAGGGTTTCCAATAAGAGTGATATGTTTTTTTTTAAAGCACTATAATTGTTAAGGAAATTCATATGTTTTTTTTTAACGTGAAGTACAGTCGATACAATTAAGTTCAGAATATAACATCATTCAAATGGCATCCACGTCTTCTTTTGCAGGAACGAGTTCGATGAACCCAATTTTCGAGTACTTTTTTCGCTAAATCACGTCGTATGTCATGAATAGCACGTTCAATATTGACTTCTAAAGCTTAAAGAGGGTCTGGGTCATTGCTGAAGACTTGACTATGACAATGACTTTAAATAACCCCGCAAAAACTTCTTGGAGGCTATTAAATGTCAAAATTTCTTGAAATTATCGAATCTCCAAACTTCTCTCGCATTAATTTGGTTGTTTTTTTTCGAATTGCGACCCTAAAGAGTTAGTTATCATCGATAAATTGCGCTCTCCATTGACAGTAACGGTGTCACCAGCTTCATTTCGAAAGAAGTACGGACCAATGATTCCACCAGACCAAAAACTACGCCAAACACTTATAAATAATTTGTGGATTTTCTTCGCACCAGAACAGTTTTGCTTATTAACCTAACCGTACCATTCAGAAGAAAGTGAGCATTATCGGAGAAGATGATTTTCTTAAAAAAATTCCAACTGAGGAACGATTATTTTGATAATAAAATTGAATAATTTGTAAACGTTGTTCTTGCGTATGAATTTCCACGATGAAATTATAAACATTAGTGAATACAGATATATGTCATATACTGACCGATTTTTTTGAAAGGTCAACCATAGGCACTGGGGTCTATATCTTCGGTGTGTGGGGACTTGAACAGTTATGGTGCCATTTTCACTATTAGCCTACCTCAAAGACACTTTTTCAGCAAAGTTTCTGAATATATGCATTAAATTTAAAATTGTGTTATATGGGAAGTGGGCGTGGTTGCAGTCCGATTTCCCATTTTTGCACTGTAACATAGGAATGTTAAAAGTATGTTACATACCGAATTTGGTTGAAATCGGTGTAGCAGGTCCCCAGATATTTGATTTCACCTAAATGTGGGCGTCCAATTTTGAAAGCGGCACCAATAAAGCTCTCTTGTGTCATTCTGGGTGTAGAATTTAAAGTCTCTGGTGCATTTAGCTATTGACTTACGTTACGCTTTTCGTAGTTTTTAACAAAACCGTTATATGGGGAGAGAGCTGGGTTAAAATCCGATTTCATCCCTTTTCACACTATCGGTAAGGGTTCTTAAACACAACAGTTTTATATTTTAGTGCTTAGTTGTGGCATTTTATAAGTTTCCGATTTTTGGAGTTTTGTGGGCTTCGCAGTGGTTCCATTACGGCCACTACGAACTCGCCCTCACTTTTTTAGGGAACCAGATTCACACAGACAGACGAACAGACGAACGGACGGACAGTCACTCCGATTTCAATCCGTCTCGTTATCCTGATCATATATACAGGGTGGTTGTGAAATTTATGCTCTTACCAAGAAATTGCACCACTAGCTCCAATTTTTTTTTCTCAAGTTGGTACATCTGTCGTGAGAACACATGCAAAGTTACAAGTCATTCTGTCAAACTAATTCTTTGTTTACAAGCCATTTGAAGTTGACGTATCAGAGTATTTCTTTAATATGGAAAAATTTAATATTAAAATAAGATTTTTTGTTTTAAAATGTTTAAAAGCAAATGAAAGTAATGAACAATTGTTAGAAGTGTATAAGGAGTCCTCACCTTCAAAATATAGAATTTTGGGCTGATGAATTTAAACTTGGTCGTACTAGGCTTGAAGACGATCCACGGAGAATTATATATGAAAAAGATGTTTGGAAAGTTAGTGCCGCACACGTTAACAATTCAACAAAAACTGGATCGAAAACAAATTTCTCAGCATAATTTTGAGCGTTTTAAGCAAAATAAATCCGATTTCTTGCGTCGATATATAACTATGGATGATACTTGGATCAACCACCATGATCCTAAATTGAAACAAAAACGTTTACAGTGGACTGAAGACTGATCAGCAAAGGTTATGGCATCAGTTTTTTAGGATGCAAAGGGAATTTTGCTGATTGATTACACAGTTCATATAGTCGAAAACAGATCGTTCGTCACAAATCTAAACTTCTTTTTATACTCTCGGAACATGTTGCTACAGAGTATAATAGTTTTGTTCACCTAACGGTTGTTTATATCACCTAAAACTAATTTAGTTAGATATAGGGTTATATATATATAAATGATCAGGATGAAGAGACGAGTTGAAATCCAGGTGACTGTCTGTCCGTCCGTCCGAGATATCTTTATGAAACTTGGTACACATTTTTCTTGATACCGTAAGAAGGTTGGTATTGCAGATGGGCGTAGTCGGACCACTGCCGCGCCAATAATCAAAACCAAATAAATTGTCATAACTAAGCTCCATAATAAGATACAAGGCTGACACAGGATCGCTTTAGGGAGGGGCATCTGCGGTTAAAAAACTGCTAAAGCTATAATAACAAAATTCACTGAGAACAAATGTTTTTTATCACTTCTATCTACGGTGTGAAAATGGGTAAAATCGGGTGACAACCCCGCCCACTCCCCATATAACGGTACTGTTAAAAACTACTAAAAGCGCGATAAATCAAGCACTAAACACGCCAGAGTCATTAAATTTTAACACAGGGATCTTATGAGCTGACTTTATAGGAGCCGCGTTCGAAATTTTACAATGGGCGTGGCACCGCCCACATTTAGGTGAAAACCCATATCTTAGGATCTGCTTAACCAATTTCAACCAAATACGGTATATTATATTCTTCTATGCTTTAGTGCGATAAGGAGCGAAATCGGATTGCAACCACGTCTATTTCCCATATAACATCATTTTAAATTTAATCAAAATCAAAAGTTTTTCACTTTCCACTATGCAAATCAAACAACAATGATTGTATCGGGGTAAAACTTTGCGTGAATAATACGTTTGAAGTAGGTATGCCACCTTGTGACCAAAAATTGTCTAAATCGAATCAAAACTGTTCAAGCCCCTAGGTACTGAATATGTGAACCCCAGTGCCTAGACTGACTTTTTACCGAAAATATCGGTCAACATAGAACTAGGCGGCAAGATCCACAAAGAAATCTAAAACGAGTATACCATTTGACTTTGCGAGAGTATAAAATGTTCAGTTGCATCCGAACTTAGCCGTTCCTTACTTGTTTCTCCTTTTTACCATCCTAACAAAGCACTTTGGTATGATTTACACACAAAATGTGGTGTCTACCATGCGTCTAAATTTTAACAACTCCTTCTAAAATAGACATTATTTTTCTTTTTTCAATATGTAGAGTATATCTACCGCAAACATAACAATAAATATCTCGATTGAGATATCGAAGATTGCATTATTATATTTTTTATCAATACATAGTATAAAATAAAGTCGCTTTCTCTGTCCCTATATCCCTATGTATGCTTAAATCTTTAAAACTACGCAACGGATTTTGATGCGGTTTCTTTTAATAAATTGATTGAAGTGGAAGGTTTATATGTATAATAACATCTATTAAATAGTGGAAAAATACTGTTATGTTTAAGGTTTCTAATGTGATGTCGTAAATAATAACATTTTTTCCGCTTACATTGCAAACGCAGCCTGAACCCTACGAGATTTATTAAAATAATGTACTAAGTATTTTACACATTGAAAAGGTCTACAGAAAGCTCTGTGGTGGTATATCTATCTCTTCAGGATATCCCACAATAACATTTTTTTATCATTTACTGTTAAAGACAGATAATGGCTAATTTTCGAAGCGATTTTAACCAATACCGCATTAATCCTTCCTTATCCAATTAAATACCTTAATTAATTATTGATTTAACTTGATATTACAGATTTAAAAATTGCGGGTCGTAGCGTTTGCGGCGGGAGCGTGCCCATAAATAGCGCGTCGGAGGCCGCTTTTCTCCCTATAGCACTTTGAATTTAGTAGCGATCGGACTCGTTTAATATCGGAGCTCTCTAGCAAGGAAAATAACAGTACTTAAAGAAAACGTGCTATTCAGTGCGACAACGTATCAGTAATTATAAGTAAGTTACGATTAATAATTGTATGATAGTAGTTATAAAATATAAATAACATTCTATTCTAAGGTTAATTTTTAAATCGTACTTATAGTAATTATAATAGTAATTATAAGTACATAAGGTTATATAAGATTACTAACCTGAGTAAATTTTGTACAGATATTATAAAATAATGTCTGGAAGACGTCGTCGTTCGAACATAGGTCGTAGTACAGTGAATGCCAGAAGAGTACGTTCGGGATAGATGTAGAGCTGAGAGAGAGAGAGAGAGAGAGAATCTTCAGTAGTTTGGGATCGAGATAGAAATACGGTTCAGAGGAACAGAGAATCGTCAGTAAAGCGTGAGGCTCGACTCAGTCAGCTTCGGGATAGATATAGAGCTAAGAAAGAGAAATAGAGAATCTCCAGTAGAGCGTCAAATTTGCTTAGGGATAGACATCGAATACAGAAAGCCAGAGAATCATCAGCACAAGTTACTAAATTATGGGTAAATAAATAAAATTCTTCCTTGAATTTCTTACAAGGACAATAGGTACGATGTCAGTAGTGTGTAAACATTGCTTGGCATTGAAATGCAAGGACAAATCGAAAAGCATGTGTTGCTTACAAGAAAAAATCAAATTAGAAGAAATTCTCCCTCCACCAAACCACTTCACTCTCTTCTTACGGGTGATCATCAGAAATCCAAACAATTCCTTCGCAACATACGCCGTTTCAAATAACCTCTTTTAAGAGTAAGCAAGTTGTTGAGCGTGGGTTCATGCCTACATTTAAAATTTAAGGGCAAGCTGGGAGCTTGCTACCACTTCGACCGGATGATCATAAATTTTAGCAAATATATTTTATTGAGAGTGTTCCAGCTGATCTTTTGACTTTAGTAGCAGTAGTGATAGCTGGACAGCAATTTGAATAATTTGCAAAAAATTTCAGAGATCTTATAACAGCTTACAATATCCTTTGATGCTATGTCGTGGAGAAAATGGTTATGCCAATAATATTTCTCATGTTGACCAAATCGGTGGTACACCTCTGCGTATAACATTGTCATGTATGAACTACTATTGCTACCGTATAATGACAAGACGTAACAATTTCAACCCTTTACTTCTATATAGAATGTTAACAAACCAATACTTGGTAGATCAATATGCGAAAATTGAATTTGAGAGATTGGCCTACATTCGTAATAATCAAACTAAATTGAGAGCCGAAAAATACGTTCATCTTCGGGTTGTAGGCGAATGAACACCGCAACGGCATAGGGCAGTTGGTTATACTACCTTCATCATTCACAGGTGGACCTCTATAGTTACACGGAAAAATCGCAAGACGCCATGCCTTACGGGCCGATGTCAGCTAATACTACTAACTAACAGTGCCGAATACAAAAGAGAAACATCATACGATCAAACCCGACTTTTACAAAATATAGCTCAAGATGAGCCACGATTAAACATCGATCAAAAAAAAGTATCCAATGCAGTGAAGGGAAATTGCTTTTCTTTGATGCCTCAGGAGGTATAGGAAAAACATTTTTAATCAATCTGCTTGTAAAAAAGTGAGATCTTCCGGAAAAATAGCGTTAGCTGTTGCGTCATCCGGCATTGTCGCTACGCTTTTGGAAGGAGGCCGTACCGCACGCTCTACATTCAAGCTCCCGCTGAAAATCGCAACCAATGATAATAACAGAGTCTGTAGTATTTCTAAACAGAGCAATACAGGAAAATTGATGCGTGACTGTTTATTATTAGACTGGGACGAAGCTACCATGTCAAACAAGACGTTTGTGGAAGCACTGGATATGACAATGCGCGATTTGCGCAACAAAAATTTCAACTATGGGTGGATGTACAATTCTGTTCTCAAGAGACTTCCATTAAATCCTATCAATTGTAACTAGAGGAACACGAGCTGACGAAATAAAATCAATAAATTAGAGCTTAAAACTTATGAGGGTTTCGTCATCTACAACAGGCTATTTCCAGAGATGCTGCTAAAAAAACCTTTGTGTTTTGATAGACAAC